GCTGGGTGCGGTGAGCTTGCCTCTCCCGCCCGGCCCCCGTCTTTTGGTGAGCCTCCCCTCGCTGGGCACGGCTTCCGGTCTCTGCAGTGGCGTCCCCCAGGGCCTCTGGCACCTTCAGGCCATGGGGACCCTTGGGGAAGGGTGAGGGCACTCTGCCCGGCTGCTGGCAGAGCCGCACGTCGGGCCACATGCCCCGGAGCCTGGGGCAGAAGTGCCGCCGGTCCCTGGAAGGAGGCACCTGCTCATGAGACAATCAAGTCACCACCGCACTGAGTGCAGGGACCCCCCACCAGGCGGCAGGCTCCCTGCTCTCGGGTGCAGAAGCAGCGCCCGGGCTGTGGAGCGGCCTTCCAGCCAGGTGGCGTTCCTGGTCAAACCGCCCTGCTCCCTGCTCCGGACTGAGTCCTCTTTTCCGGAAACTCAAACACAAAACACTGTCGAGGGTTTTTTTTGTTTGTTTTTGTTTTTTTGTTTTACGAAGCACTGTCACCTTCAGGTGCCCGCCTCCCGCGGGCAGTCCTCCTGCCTGCGAGTGGGAATGCGCCGCCGCCAACTGCGCCCAGCCTTCCTCCTCGGAAGGCAGGTCGTCACCCGGCGACGGGCGTCCCCCGCGAACACCAACTGCCAGAGCCGCCTCCACCGTCGTGAATGTTTACCGCTGCTTCCGCCTCGGCGAGCTCCGGGGCCGGCCCTGGGAGCCTGTTGTGGAATTGTTTACACAGCGCCATGTATCCAGTCGTCTTCTGTCCTTTGTCTGTGTGCTTACACGGGTGTCCCGGAAACGTCCTCGATTTTAAACTGAGCCTCCTTTTTACTACATTCCCTCGGAGGCGGAGGCAGCCTCCGAGGCCGCGTGGCGAGCCCCGGCCCCGCCGCCCCCGCCGCCCCCACGGGCCGCTCAGGCGCTGCGGGCCGCTCGGGCGCAGACCAGGCTTCCTCCGCCCAGTGCAATCCGTCGTTCGGCTGCTTGTGTCTTTTTATGACCTTCTGCCTTTTAGAGCATTGGTAAATAAAGCGAGTATATTTTTATTTTTATTTTTATGTGCATGAGTCTTTGCAGTAGCACCGGGGGAAACTGGATGGAGGTGATCAAAGATGATCGGAAGGTGGTTTTAAACGGAACTCGAGAGATTCCGGGTTAGGGACCCTGCTTCCACTGGGGCCCCCCTCGCCACGCCCCCCCGCACGCCCCCCCCCGCAGCGCGCTTCCGGCTCCTCGCGTCCCTTCCGGTCCAACGCGTCTGCGACTGCACACGTCCCGCAGCCCCTGCCCCGGGGACTTTCTGGGGCGGAAGCCGAAGCCTGGGACCTGGCCTCAAGTGCTCCCGGCCTTTGCACGTGCAGGTAGGGTGGGACGGGGGTGCTCTGCTCAGCCCCTGGAGCTCCGCTCGGCTCCGCAGGACCCCAGGCGCCCACCTGGGTGCTGGCCCGGTGCGCTGACGGCAGGGACAGAGTGATCAGGCGGCACGGCGCCATCACCCCCGACCCCAGCGGCCCTGGCCTTCCTTCTGCCATGATGGCGCCATACGGGCCTGGTCAAAACGGGAGAGAGCGATGGCGGGGCTCCGGGAGCGGTCCGAGCAGGAAGATGACCGGGTCCTGGACCCAGGGCCCAGCCTTCCAGAGGCTCCCGAGCAGCAGGGAGGGCTTGGCTCTGCCCCCTGGCCCAGCTGCCGAAATCCAGGCGGTAAGAGGGAAGGCGGGGGGGAGGGGGGAGCAAAGAAAGGCTCAGTCCTCCCGGTGAGCACAGAGCGCCTCCGTGGCCAGATGTGGCTGGCCCACCGGACTTCCGAGTGCCTCTGGGGACTCCTGACTGCCTTTTCAGTGACCATAGAACCCCAAGGGCACAAACTGAAAGGAGCTTCCCAGAGGCCCCCCCCCCAGGCTGATTGCCCACAAGTGACCTAGACATCCGCAGGCTGCCCCCGCTGCCAGAGCTGCTGCTACCTGGTCCCTTTTGGCCACCACAGCCCTGCCCAGCGTCAGCTGGCCTCTGTCCCTGGATCTGAGGGGATCAGAGGGCCCAGACGTGCTGGAAGTCTCTGGGCAGGCGAACTTGGAAGGTGGGGGCAGTGCAAGGGACAAGCGGCAGGCAGCGGTTCTGCTCCGAGAGGCCACGGGAAGGAGGAAGTGAGGGCTTGGCAGGCCCACTACGGGGCAGCCAGGCGTCTGGAAGGAAAAGACCAAGCCAGCTGACCAGTGGGCCCACCGAGGGGGATTGAGGCTGACCTCAAAGACGGGGCCTCGGGTGACGTCCCGGCCAGTCAAGGACACACCAGCTCTCTCCTCACGCTCCCCCCTGCCCAAGGCCACTCGCTCACTGAGCCCTCCCCCAGCACACAATTTCTCCTTCCTTCAGCTCCCGGTGGCATTCCCGACCGCCCCCACCCCATGCCAGACGAGGCCCCCAGGTCCCAGCCCTCCCTCCACGTTCTCCCTTCTCTGACGGTGGTCCCCTGTCCCTGGTTTCTGCAGCTGACTTCATGTCACGTCCTGTGACCCTAAGGACGTCTTCGGTGCTCGGCTGCAGACGGGTGCTCAGGGTGGATGCCGATGAACTGTGCTGGGGCCATGAGCGGGACGGGGCGCCAGCAACACGTTCTCCGCTGGGGCTCCGTCTGCCTTTGCTGGGGCTCCCTGTGGCCCTTCGATTCGTGCTTGTGCCGTTTGCCTTTGTCACCTCGTCCCCCGGCACCCCTCTCGGGACCCCGTCCGGTCAGGTGTTCTGTCCGTCTTCTCCCTGAGGCCTCCCCTGGCATCCGGACTGCCCTGTACCGCTGTGAGCTGTGTTTCATGGAGAGCGTTCCAGAACACGTTCGGCCTTGTTCAAATAATGTACTGGCCAAAGAGGGGGTAGGAAACAGGATGAGAGAGATCACTGAGTTTATTTTTCCATTCCTCAAAGGAGTGAGAACTTTCCTGTAGTTACGTGTGTGTGTGTGTGGGGGGGGTCTGCTTCCCTGGGGTGGTGTGTAAACGGCAAAGAAGAGTAAAGATACAGGCCAGCTAGGGGCCCACCCCCGTTAGTGCCCCCCGTAGGCGTGGGGAATGGAAGAGCATTTGGGTCTGAGCGGCCAGGGGAGCCAGCAGGAAGAGAGCCGAGTTTCTGGCTCGCAGGGGAGACGGAGGACAGCAGGGGAGGCTGAAGACAGCACCGGGCTCACACCTGGGCGAGCCCGGCTGGTCTGGGAAAGCCGCAGGGGCCTGCCTGCTCGGGAAAAGGCCCCCGAGGGGCACAGCCCAGGGACTCCCCGAAGTCAGCGAGGTGACTGGGGGAACCTGCAGAGCTGTCACTAAACTTGCCCTGCCTGTGGAGGTCCCTCTGGCGGGGAGCCTGAAGGGAACCGGCCGCCTGGAGACCTGCCAGATCTGTCTGGCCGTGCCCTAGGCACCCAGGGCTCCTACAAGACCAGGTGGGTGGGGGTCCTACATCGCACTGGCCCCAGACCAGGGGAGGAGGCTGCCGACCAGACCCTGACAGTCCTAATCCTGCGTGAGCAGGGGGCACTGGGTGCGGGCGCAGCGCTCCCACAAGGTAAATGAGGGAAACTGAGGCCTGAACAGGGAGGAGACAGCCATGGAAGGTTGAGGCAGGACAGTGTTCCAGCAGAAGGTGAAGACCAGAAGGCATCTTGGCTTTCCAGCCCTCCCTGGCGGCGCGGAAGTAGGCGCTAGGCCGGTGGACCAAGGGTCAGACCCGGGTCCTCAGGGCGCTGCCCAAAGCTCCCCTGGGCTCCCTTGCTCGCACCCCCACCCGCTGGGAGGCCCGGCCGGCAGATGGGCGCCCGCGGCGGGGGTGCGGGCCGTCTGTGGGACTCAGACGCGCCCGCTGCCCGCCCGCGGGACAAAGGCGTCAGAGACAAAAGAGCGGCCAACACCTGTCTCTCTTGGCGCGGCCTCCGCTTTTCTCCCCCGAAGCGGCTGCAGCTGCCAACTGTCACGGGCATCAAGTTACGGGTCCAGACGGCGGCCTCCAGGAGCCTGGAGCAGTGTGTGCGCGCGTGGGGGGGGGGGCTAAGGGGTAAAAGGGGAGCCGAAGGGGGACGCGGCGGGGGGCGCGAAGGGGACTGGAGGGAGGGGGCAGGGCGAACGAGCAGGAATGGGGATCAGGGAAGGGCGGGTGGTGGTGGGTAACTGGAGGGGTGTAGCGGGGGAGCAGGGAAAGATGGGGGAGGGGGCAGTGGGAGTGGGAAAGGGCGTGGAGCCACGGGGAGGTCAAAGCAGGACCATAGAGCGAAGGGCGTTCGGGGAAGGTGGAGGCTTAGGGCGGTGATGGGAATGAGGACCAGGAAAGAACGGGTAGCTGTGGGGGGTGGGGGCGTGGCCAGAGAAGGGGAGCCTGGAGGAGCAGTTGTGCGGCGGGCTGCGAACCACGCCCGGCTCGGATCCCGGAATAGGGTGAGGGTTGCAGAAGAGGGTGCGGCGTCTGGACACAGGAACCCGCAAGGAACTCAAGGGGGCCAAGGGCTCGCTCTCACCCCCGTTGCCCCATGAGCTCCCACCTCCCCAGAGCTCCGCAGCCCCCACCAGTCCAGACCCGAGGTTCCATTCGGACTGGACACCGCGGACTTGACTGTCTTTGCCCCACTTGGTTCAGCACGAAGCGCGCCCGCGCACAACACTCCTCTGGGGAGGCATCTGGGAACCCAAATGGGGATGGATGGATGGGTGCTCGCACGCGCAGCTGACCTGGGGGCGTTGCTCCGGGTGCGGAGGGAGACTGGCGCACCCAAGATCCGCTGCTCCCAAGGTCGCCGCCCACTCGGGTGCCGCCCCCTGCGAGGGTCAGGCTGAGGCCCGGCTGGGGTCCACGCCCGCCGGCCACGCCCCGCCAGCTGCTGGTCGACGCCGGCTGCGGGGCTGGACAAAGCGCGCCGCTTCAATTGGCTGTCGTGCGCCTCCGGCCAGCTGCTCTTGAAGTACGCGGCCAATCCACGCATTGAGATGCAAATAAGGCGCTATAAAAGGGGCGGGGCCCGGGGCTGGAGGAAGACCTTGGAGGGGGAGGCTGGTGGTGGTGGCGATCCCTGCTCGGCGAGGGCGCTGGGGGTGTTAGCTGCGCTTCGGGTGGTGCAGACCATGGCCCCGTCCCCGGCGTCTGGCGCCGGGGGATGGGACCGTGCAGGCCGGGAGAATGACGGCGGCTGGGAGACACGAGTGGACCGCAAGGTGCTGGCCCGGGCCGTGGGCGTGCGAGCGTGTGGGGGGCAGCGCTGGGGCTTAGTGACCGGCTTCTCGCAGGCCCGGAAGCCCCTGGTGGAGAAGAAGCGGCGCGCGAGGATCAACGAGAGTCTGCAGGAACTGCGGCTACTGCTGGCCGGCACCGAGGTGAGGCAGGCGGGCGGGCAGGTGCCCAGGGACATCCGAGCGGGCGGGTGGGGGTCGCGGCGCTACCCTCACTTCCTCTCCCCACCCGGGGTCCGCGCCGCCGCAGGTACAGGCCAAGCTGGAGAACGCCGAGGTGCTGGAGCTGACGGTGCGGCGCGTGCAGGGCGCGCTGCGGGGATGGGCGCGTGGTGAGTGGCCGCAGGACATGCGGGCTGGGACACGGGGCGCGTTTGCCCACCTGCCCTTGGCAGGGGCGTGGGGTTTTTAGGCCCGGCGCCCCTGTGCTGTCGGCATCGCGAGTTCACCAAGGAACAGGGCATGCCCCAGGGTCTCCTGGGCGAGCCCGGTCACCGCTGGCCGGGTGGGTGGGGACATGGCTCTCTCCCTCCCATCCCCGGGCGCAGGGCTCGAGCAGCTGCAGGCAGAAGCCAGCGAGCGCTTCGCCGCCGGCTACATCCAGTGCATGCACGAGGTGCACACGTTCGTGTCCACGTGCCAGGCCATCGACGCCACCGTGGCCGCCGAGCTCCTGAACCATCTGCTGGAGTCCATGCCTCTGCACGAGGGCAGCAGCTTCCGGGATCTTCTGGGGGACGCCCTGGCCGGGCCCCAGGGAGCCCCTAGGAGAAGCAGCTGGCTCACAGGAGGGGCCCCGGGGTCCCCACTACCCAGCCCCCCACCCCCTGGGGACGACCTGTGCTCCGACCTGGAGGAGGCCCCTGAGGCTGAACTGAGCCATGCACCTGCTGAGGGGCTGGACTTGGTGCCCCCTGCCCCGGGTGGTCTTACTACTGCCCGTGTAGCCCAGAGCATTTGGAGGCCCTGGTGACCGGTGCCAGCCAGCCAGCCAGAGTTGGGCCCAGCCTTCCCACCTCTAGACCCTCCTCCCTGGAGTCTAGATGTGGTGGGGCAGGGTCCTGGATGTCCGCCCTCCTAGTGGATGGCTTGTAGGGCAGTCCTGGATGGCCAGTCCAGCCAGGCCCCTTGCCTCGTCCTTCGGGGAGTAACTTCTGGTGCCCCACCTCTGGGAGGGTGGAGGGAGGGAGCTACAGGCAGGAGGAAGAATGTTCTAGAGCTTCCAGGGCTCTCCAAGGTTCACCTGGGTGCAAGCCTTTCAGGCAGTGTGTGGATGTGGGGCAGAGGTGACAGAGTGGGGCTGAGCCTCTCCTCGGTGCTGGGAACAAGCGTCGCGGAAGGGGGAGACCGCAGGCCCTGGCGGCCCTGGCGGCCCTGGCCTGAGCAGAAGGCTGAGCTTGCTGCTTCAGCTGGGGCCCGGCGGAGGCACGTGCAGAGTGCCCGCAGCTGCCGGAGAGAAGCCGGGCTTTCTGTGCGTCTTGCATTCGGCACACTTGAGTTTGTTTGGTTGCTGCCCAGTGCTCCAGTTCTGTTAAATAAAGGACTTCGGAGTGTCCGTTACCTTCTGAAGTATGACTGAGTGAGGTGGTGTCATCAATGTGTCAGACACGTAAATAGTAAACTGAGCACCCTTTTCCCGTGTTTAACGCTCGCCCTGGTCAGCGGAGTGAGCAATGGAGTGGCAGTGGAGACAGGACACGGTGCTGCCCCGGTGACAGCAGCACCTCGGGGTGTCCCCCTGCAGGTCCCCAGGCCTGGCCTGCGCGGCCTGGGCTGTGTGAGGCCTGGAGGAGGGTGCCGCGGGGAGGGGTGTGTCTGCAGAGCAGCCAAGCAACAGGGAAGCAGCCTGCCCCAGATCACTCTCCAGTTCATGAGTCCCCAGGGACAAACTAACGCCTGGCTGGTAGCCACATGGTCTGGAAGTTTCTTTCAAAAACCTGTGTTAGCATCCATGAGCGGGATGTCAGCCCACGTGGGTTGCCACTTCTCTTGACTGAGAAGGAGCTTCCACCATTGCCAGTGACCTCGGTGACCCAGTTCATGGCTTCAAGAGAGGTCACTGTGGCTGCAGGCCACTTGGACTGGAGGTCATGCTGGGCTTGGAGGTCAGAAACCTTGGGAGGAGGGTGCTGGGCGGGCAGTCCGGGTGTCGGGGGACAGCCCTGGGGCTGGACCAGGCCTGCAGCTGGCATGCGGTCAGTTAACAGCCTGGTCACTGCCACCCGTAGCCCTGCCCCTCGCCTGCCTGAGGGCCCCAAAGCAGCTTTTCTGTCTTTGGGTTGGCAGTGCCCGGGCTGGGGACGAGGTGTGACAATACAGGGTTGCCACCTGCATCTCCCATCCAGTGAGCAACTTTCCCCACAGCCCTCTTACAAGGGGCCCCCCGGGGCTGACCACCAGGGGCGTGTCCCGGCAGACCTGTGATCCAGTCTTAGGCCTCAGCTGCCAGATGCAGCTTAATTTTAGCGACTGAGGGTGAGCTGTCGAGGGGCCGGGTGAGGGACACACATGCATAAGACAGGGCGGGAGAGGGTGACAGCGTTACTCCTGGGATTGTTGTCATCGCCCCCAGAGATGTAGGACGTGTCCGCAGGGACACAGGAGAGCAGGCCACCGCTGAGAGCTCTGATGCCGTGGGAGAGTGTCAGCCGGGGACCGTTCCCTCTCCTCCCCTCGCTTGTCACATCCTCCACCGTCAGCCCTCTGTGGCCGCCGTAAACCGCCGTGAACTTGGTGGTTTAAAGCACCACCCACGTATCACCCTGTCGTTCTTCCGTCGGAGGTGGGATTTACTGGCTAAAATCAGGGCAGGTCTGCACTCCTTTCTGGGGGATTGAGGGTAAACAACTCTCTTTCCTGCCTCTGAGGTGCCCACACTCCCCGGCTAGGGGCCCTTCCTCACTCTTCAAAGTCGGCAGTGCAGATCTCCCTGCCCCTTCTTCCGTGGTCGCAGCTCCTGACCCTCCTCTCCCTCTCCTTTTTTTTCCTTTTTTAAGTGGAAAAATTGTGTTTTTTTTTTTTTTTTTAATTTTTAGAGAGGGGAAGGGAGGGAGAAAGAGAAACATCAATGTGTGGGTGCCTCTCACATGGCCCCACTGGGGACCTGGCCTGCAACCCAGGCATGTGCCCTGACTGGGAATCTGACTGGCAACCCTTTGGTTCGCAGCCCGAGCTCAATCCACTGAGTTACACTGTCCTCTCCTTTTAAGGCCCCTGGTGATTCCTGGGAGCCGACAGGGGTCATCCAGGAGACCCTCCCTATCTGGAGGTCCTGAGTCCTTAATCAGACTTGCAACGCTGATGGCTATGAAAGGCGACATTCACAGGCTCTGTGAACCAGGGTGTGCACGTTGTTGGGGGTTTGGGGGACATTGTTCTGCTGACCGCACCGCCCTCACCACTGCCTGGGCACTCTGCCTTCTAGGTGATGCCCTGTGGCGCCAGCCTCCCACGCGGGCCACTGGTTTTGGTCCCCTCTGACCTCAGTGACTCTGCTCTCTTCACTGAACCATAAATGTCGCCTCCCACTGGAGGGTCATTCCCATCGACCTGCAAACAAGCTGTGATGATCTCAGTCTGGAAGAAGGGGAGATGAGACCTCGCTGGTCCCAACGTGCCCCCTTAGCCTCTGCCTCCTTTCCCTTTTCTAAAGGAAAATTCCTTGAAAGCGTCATCTCCACCCACCGCCCCCACGTCTGCACCTCTCACCCCTTTTCTTCCTCTCTCGTCAAGCTGTGGCTCCCACCGCTCCACTGAGACCGCCCTTGTCAAGGTCTCCGGGCACATCCACGTCCCCGCATCCAGGGTTCGTGTCCCTAAGTTTCACCACGGCCTTCCAGCGAAGCACTCTGCACGGTCATCGCGCCCCCCCCCCCCCTTCCAGGACACCCAGTCCTCAGGTGGGCCCACCTCACTGGCCAGTCCCAGCCTTCACTAGAGGCCCCTCCCTGCCGACCTCTGAAGGTGGGCTCGGCCAAGGCTGTGTGCTCGGCCCCTCCCGGTCGCCCGTGTCCGGAAACCCCAACCGGCCCGTTTGGCCCGTTTCCTCCAGGTGCCCTCGCTGCTCCAGGGCGCATCTCCACCCTTGCCGTTCTCCCTCGATGCTGTGCGCTCAGCGTCTCCACTTCGGTGCCCGAAGGGCGTCACGAACCAGAGTGGGGGAGGGCACGACTGACTTTCACCCGCCAAACGCGCTGTTACAGTTCCTGCCGCAGCCACCTCCCGGCATCCCGTTGATTAGGAAAAAGAAAATCTGGAAGTCACCCTCGATTTCTCCTTCATCTGTCGTCCCACTTCCACCCAGTCAGGTCCATGAGCTCGAGCTCTCCGTTTGGGTCATCCTCCCCACCGACCGAATCCAGGCACGCTCCTCTCATCCTTAACCTGACTTGGGCGGCAGACCCAACTCGCCTCCCCACTTCCACGCGGAGAGCCTGACCGCGGCCTTCGAGGCTCTCTGCCTGAACTCCCTTCAGCAGCTCTGCTCTAGGCTCCGGCCTTTGCCAGCGACCTGACAGCGGGGATCCGGGCTGGGTCGCTCAGCGCCGCGAACCGGCCCGGGAAGACGGTGAGCGATGGAGGGAAACCCCTGAGGCTTGGAGGGGTTAGCCTCCAGGATGCGCGAGGTTTGGGCCACGCCCCCGCACAGGGACCGCGCTCCCCGGGCCGTGGCCACGCCCCTGACGTCACCTTGCTGGAGGCGAGCCGCAGGGCCTCCTGGGAGCTGTAGTTCATACCATTTCACTTCCTTTTTGTCCGAGGCCGCTGCAGGCCAACCGGGACTGCAATTCCCAGAAGTCTCCCTGGACCGGAAGCTACTCTTTCCGCCACTGCGAGCTCGGTGCCAAGGGTGGCAACCGAGTTCAAGGGCGGCTTTGTACGGCTCCCCCACCTTCTCAGCGTCCGCTAGCGTGGGCTGCGTTCTCCCCAACATCCGCTGCACCGGGAGGGGAAGCGATAAAGGCGCCCGCTCCCCGCACCTCGGGCCCTCCCCAGCTGGAGCCGCATATTTTGCGCGTGAGGAGGCGAAGGCGAGAGGGCGCCCAGGTCGCCGGACCGACCTGCGCTGGCTTCAGCCCCGGGCCGCTGGGCCGGGCCCCCCGCCGGACCAGTGGCACCGACCGCGGGTTACAGGCGGCCGGCAGGTCGGGGTATTAAATGCTGCCCAGACAGTTCGGAAGCCAACAGCGGCTGATGTTCATGAAAGTAGTGCGTTTTAAGTGAATAAAGTATAAAAGGTTTCTTGGGAAATCTTTCCCTGTTTAAGTTTCAGAAAGCGTCTGATCAAATACCATTGGTGAGCCCTAGGTGCTGTGGCTTAGGTGGACGAATCGATCTGTAAACAAAGGATGCGGGTTGCACCGTGGGTCAGGGCGCATGCCTGGGGTGCGGGTTCGGCCATCGTCAAGGCTCTTAGCGGACCTATGATGTTTCTCTCTCCGTCCCTGCCTTCTCCTCTCTCTAAAAAAAGAAACATTTTTAAAAGATTTTATTTGTTTATTTTTAGAGGGGAAGGGGGGGAGATAGAGAGAGAAACATCAATGTGCGGTTGCTGGGGGTTATGGCCTTGCAACCCAGGCATGTACGCTGGCTGGGAATCGAACCTGCGACACTTTGGTTCCCAGTTCGCGCTCAATCCACTGAGCTACGCCAGCCAGGGCTAAAAAAAGAAATTTTTAAAAAACCGACAAGCATGTCCTCCAATGAGGATAAAAAGATAATAAAGTAAATAAAAATATTTAAGGTGTGAAAAGTGCAATCCTATATTCAAAAGTAAAATTGCATTGCTCACTTCCGTGCCTGAGATGGGGGTCCAGGAAAGCAAGGATCCCAGGGACCTGGGCCACAGCCCAGGAGTGGGCTGCAGAGCGGGGACATCCCTGCGTAGGGATCTCACGGTCATAAAGGGCCTCTTAAGCATGGCAAGGCCAGGAGTTTGGATTTTATTCTAATTAGATGGGAAGCGCCCTGGCTGGTGCAGCTCGCTGGACTGAGCACGGGCCTGCGAACCAGAAGGTCGCTGGTTGGCTCCCCAGTCAGGGCACATGCCTGGGTTGTGGGCCAGGTCCCCAGTGGGGGCACAGAGACAACCACACATCCATGTTTCTCTCCTGTTGGGAACCGCCCTGACTGGTATCAGAAGCTGTAACCCCCACCTAGGCTAAGGCTAAGGAAACGCCCTTGGAACTGTAAGCCAGCAAGGAGACAAAAGATTATCTTCCTGACAGGAATGCTGCTTCTGCTGCTTTATTCATAACTGAACCCCAAAAAGCTTGGTCGGTTAGCCAAAGACGGGTAAGATTCCCCACGGGGGGAACGACCTAAGACAGGCACGATCACTTTGGGAGGCCCCCCAAAAGAAGGACTTGGGGGGCTGCAGCAAAAGGGGGTGATGGACCCTCGCTCCTCGGCTTTGACATAGCCTGAGTTCTCAGTGTCTGGGAAAAAACCTCCTTGTCTCCCAGTTGCCTTAGTTCCCTTGCTCCACCTAAGCCTGAAACAATGACAGGGTGGTGCAGCTCTGTACTGAGAAGTGCGGATTCCCCGGGGGTGATCAGGCCTAAGAAAGAACATGTAAATTACTGTGAAACCTTCTTTGTTTAGAATGCTCTCAGTTGAATCAGAAGGGTCTTAGGAGGAAGTTAGTTTGTTCCTCAAAGTCTTACAGCTCTTTGACCTTGACTCAAAATAGACCCTCAGACTTCCTTGTTTTCTATGGTTCCTTACTTCCCCCTAATGAGTACTGTACTTTACCTGAATTATTATGCAGAATGAGCCCAATAAAAGCAGGTATGGACGGTAAATCGGCCCGCTCCCCACTAGGGGGGGTGGCCATTTCGTCCCTATTTCTCCACAGAAACTAGTTTGTCTCTGTGCATGTTTTTTCTCGCGTGTTTATCGTCGAGCCATCCACAGCGTTCTGTGGTCACTGCTGGCCGGTGACCCACACGCAACACTCTCCGCTCTGTAAAAATAAATAAAAAATTTTTAAAAGATTTTATTTATTTATTTATTTATTTATAGAGAGGGAAGGGAGGGGAGAGAAACATCAATGTGCAGTTGCTGGGGGTCATGGCCTGCAACCCAGGCATGTACCCTGACTAGGAATAGAACCTGCGACACTTTGGTTCGCAGCCCGCGTTCAATCCACTGAGCTATGCCAGCCAGGGCAAAATAAATAAAATCTTAAAAAAAAAAGAAAGTACTGATTTTAAAAAAAGTTGAGGTTCAAATTAAAAAAAAAACACAGGAAGAAATTGAACTTAAAGCAAGGGAGGGCAATGGGCCGAGTTATGTTTTTAAAATATCCTTTTTTCTGGGAAATCAACCATAGGACAAGAGTGACAGGAGGCAGTCCTGTTTGTCGGGGGAAGGACGTACAGGGGCTTGGTCTGGGGTCACAGCGGCAGGAAAGGATGTAGAGGAAGTTTGGAGGTAGAACAGGCAAGACCTTCCCGAATTAGAGGACTGAGAGTGCGTCGGGTGTAGGCCGAGAGGCCCCCGGGCCCCCCTACAAGCCTAGCTCGGGCGCTGGGAAAAGCCGCGACGCAGGGAGGGAGAGTTCTCTTGCATATCAACAGCAGCAGCGCGGTCTTCCCGCCAGAATGGAGCCAGAAGGTCTGCGTAACCTCCGCCCGGGCTGTAGCTGGCAGGCAGCGCCCCCTGGCTACAGCGCCTGCGCCAGAGCTTGGAGACGGTTGGCTCCGCGCCCGGGAGCCACGCCTGCCCCGGCTCACCGTGGCCGCCCAGAGAGGCAGCGCACAGGGGAGTGCTGGCGGGGGAGTCGGTTGTGGGTGGAGTCGGAGATGGGGTTAGGAGGCGGTTCCAGGCTGGGATTTAAACTAAAAGGCGGGCCGCCACGTGAGGCGGGAGACAATGCGGGACCCACGCGGGTCAATAGCGGGTGAAAGGACCCTTGCCTGCCGGCC